GCTTAAATTCTCATAGAGCTGTAAATGAAGCCGCTACGGTATAACGCCTCAATGTTTTTGTTAAAATTTTATGTATTATTATTATGTATTTTGCCATAAAGAAAATATTTATAAAATTATGTACAGCCTCGGATGTTTGTTCTAATAAAAGTCCAAGAGCTTTCTGATTCCTATTGAGAAAATCTACAAGGTGGTGTTTAATAATATGGAACTTCCAACAAAGTGAAAATGTTTGACACATCTTTACAATAAACCACAAATTATTTAAGCTGATTTAGATTAATTCACCTTCCTTTCTATTTAAAAAAGTAGTTTTTTTGTAACTGTAAAACTTTAAAGCATGAAAACGTTTTATAACTGTAGCAATTGAAATATTTTTAACACCTAGTTGTAAAATCCCATATCGTAAATAATGTGAGTTTAAATTATAGTATTAAATATTTAAACACCTAGACAGCCAAGATCTAATTGTAAATCTCTAAGAACATCACAACAGGCAGATCATGATTATTCTTGATATTAAATAGTGTATGAGTAGAGACTACTTTATTTGGTTAGAGATTAGATTTTAGTATTTTAGTTAGCAGTGTCCTAAAATTAGAATAGAATATTGCAGTAAGTCATTATAAATAAATAAACCAATAAATAAAAATCTACCAGTGGCTGATTGTAACGAATTTTCAGCATTTACTAGGAACTTTAGAAATTTGAGGTTATTTGCTCTGACATAACTTTATCCTTGAAAAGAATAAGATTATTAGCATTTTTAAAAACTGATGTTTTGGGGCATGGGTGTTAATTCCCTTACCAACTAGATGAAAACAATCTGTGCAGAATGAGTTTAACCATTCAATGCATAAGTTTTCATTTATCTCAATGATATAATCTCTTAATTTAAAAATCTTGTGGTTACGCTTGTCTGATACCATACAACAAATTGGACAAAAGCATTGATCGTCAGTTGGAGTAACCTTTATAAATAACTCTTTTCAACTTTTCCAAACCTGTTTAATCATTTTCATAGCCTTTCCTTGCTGTAAACAAGGTTATTTGTATTTTCAGTAAAATATTTTTGAAAAAATTTAATGAGTTAATAAAATGATGTGAGATGGGTTATAATAAAATGAGATGGGTTTCGAAAAGGATTTGAGCTCACTTACTTTTAATCAATATCACGTAATAGCAAAGCTGTCAAAAAAGCTCAAAATTGTAACCTTTTTAAGCAATACACAAAAATCGAGAAGCTAAAAAATACCAACCCAAAAAACTTCTGGAATACCTTTAGATACATAAAGTCTGATACAAACTCAAAACTATTTACTATAAATAATAAAAAGGACAAGAAATTAATCACTAAAGAATTTGCAAATAGTTTCGAAAAACGTTTAAATACCAAACGTTTAAATACCAATGCAATGATGCATACCGCTTCGAATTTTCAAGTTTCACCTTGTATCAAATTTGATATGGTAATAATATCATATGAAAATATTAAAACGGCTACCTATCGCCTAAAATTAAACAAGACCAAAGATACGTATGAAATATCTGCAGAACATTTAAAACATGCACGTTGCGAAGCCCTAACAAAGTGGCTATGGAAATTCTTTAACTTTATTATTTATCACGGTCAGGCACCAAAATCGATGTCTACATCGCTTATTATACCTCTTGCTAAATCTTATAAAAAATCATTAACTGATCTAAATAACTACCGTGGTATTAGCATCATTTCAATCTTTACAAAACTAGTAGAATATCTTATTTTAATAATCTGTCCAGAGATAAAAGAAACTCATCCTCTTAAATTTGGTTTTACTAAAAACTTAAAAAAAACAAAACATAACAACAACAACAACAACAACTCAACTATCTATCTCTGTTCCCTAGATGCTGAAAAAGCATTTGACAGCAGTAGCTGGGACATTTTATTTGAGAAACTATACGATAGTAAAAAATTACAGCTTTATATTATTAATACTATATCGTCATTGTACCATGAAAGCAGTGCTTCTGTCACTTATCTAGAATGCAAGTCATATCCATTTTATCTAACACAGGGAGTGAGACAAAGATCGATTCTGTCTTCTTGCCTGTATAATATATATATATATATATATATATATATATATATATATATTCAAAGCCTACTTGAAACGATACAAAATAAAAGTATCGTAGGGATATTAATTTATGGAAATTACACAAGTGTTGTAGCATACGCTGATGACATCATTCTTCTTAGTTCTACCTGGAATCCGCTTTGCTTATCCAAGCTCTATCGTCTAGCTATATAAAACATTGGCGGTTCCGGTACTTACGTATGGTCTTGAACTTTGAGGTTATAAAGACGTACTAATGCAAAAGTTTGATATAATAAAGAGGAATGGACTCAAGTCACTCTTTAATATTTCCAAACACAGCAAAAATTGTATTCATTCTTTGTTTTACATCCAAAATGTATCAACAATCGTACAGCAAAACAAGTTAAACTTATTTATTTGCATATTGAGCAATAAAACATCCTCTGGCATTGTAAATCCATAGTTTAAAAATCAAACCGCTAAGCACCCTTTTCTAGATGATGTCATAAGTTTATGCAATCGGAATGAACTCAATCTAGAGAGCTTAATGCAAAGCAAAAAAAAGTAAAAATTATTGTGTTAAAAAATATAATTCCTAAAAAGATCTTCAAAAGTTAAGCTATGCAATTGAGTTCTGGAACTCATTGGAGCAAAGGAAAATATTCAAAGATATTCTTGAAGTAAATATTTCAAGATAAAAACTTATTTTTTGTCAAAATTGTAACTTTATAATAATTTAACTTGTATTATATACAGCGGGTGATTAATAAATGCACATAGTCTCGACATAGTGTCACCAATGATGGCATACTACGAAGAGAGTAGTTGTCGGTTTAATCACAGCAACAAAAACAAACTGAATCTGTAGATTCTTATGATTTTTTTTTTCTGAAAAGATGAGCCATTTGATATGTTATATTTAGTATAGGTAGACTTTTAAAAATAATATTACGATTTTTAGTAATCAAAATAAATGTTTATAAAATTAAAATTATTATAGTTATACAAATTTTAACAGTTAATATTTCTAAACAAGTCATCAACTGCTTTAAAAACTTTATTAATGCAACTGTTTAAGGTATTATTATCTATTGAGTTAACCACATTTTGAAGATAATTAAATGTCACGTCGGTTTTTATGATATTTAAAATAAAAGATAGCTAAAATAATAAAAATAAAATAATTATTGAACATTATTTTCTGGATTTCCGAAAATATATATTTTGGAATAAGAAGGAACGCTAGGATTTCCTTTTCAACATATTCAGCTAGCACCTATACATATTATTAGAACCTGTAGAAAAACTTCTTTTAAAGTTCAACCTAAAACCCTTAGAATCAAGGAGTGAATGATTAAAGGGAAGGCTTGAACAATATTATCTGGTGTATGTCTCTTCAAAAATATGAAAAACCTCGATATCCTTAATACAAATTATAATTACAGAGAAATTAAACTTGCTCTTTCCAGTCTTCATGCATGGATTCATGGATTTTCCCAATGCTTTTATTAACTCCTCGTCTGTGTCTGTTAATCTGTCTGTTATCATCAAACCTTACAATCAATGGATTAATAAAATAAAATAGTAATATCAGAAAAAATTGATTGCAAAATTTTGTTTATAAATTTTTTTTTAAATTTTGTTTTGCATATAAAAGCATTGGGTTTTAAAAATTTGTTTTCAATTTTACTCGTTTAGATGATTTTGCAGATTGCATATACAAAAGAAGCAAAAAAAAAAAAAACTTTTCTTTGAGTTCTTAAGATCTTGCTAGCCAAGATACCTTTAGGTATCTGTAACTAAACAGAAGATTCAAACTGATTTTATGAACAAAATGAAACTTGTTGTTGATTTCCCCAGTAATGGCCGTTCTGGAATAAGCAACAATGGCAATACTTCACGGCGTGCTTTGTAGTATATGAACATACAGCAGAAATTCTGGGTATCAGGTATCTGCAGGATATAAAACAGACAGCTTAAAATTCAAAGATTATTGTTTTAACACTGTTAGACGATGTGATCAATGGTAATACATAGGTCAAACTATGTACAAATTATTGATACATAGGCATGACTTTACTCAAAGACTTGCACTACCCATATAACTTATATCAGAATAGTCTCACGAGGCTAGAAATAAAAACTTTAAAACTTATCTCAAAAATTTCAGCCGAAAAACTGGAAGTTTTTGGGTTGAAAATTTTGAAAGAGCTGATCAATCGTGTTATAGTAGTTATTCAGTGACCCTATTAATACATTACTGCGTAAACCGACATCGCGCCGAATAAATCATAAAACATTTCCATCAGATGTTTTTGCAACAATTTAACAACCTTCAAATAGTATTATTTTTTAAATGAATTTTCAATGTCATTCAAATTGTCATTGTTTACTGGCACTTTATTTTGTTTTAATTATTGCTAAAACATTTTAATGTTTTAACAATAATTAGAGCATTTAAAGAGGAAGTTCACTCAATTTTAAATTAGTTATGAATTTTGCCAAGTAAAAGTGAACTCACCGCCCCACAGTGGAGCGGTAGCAGACTAAGTTTTAAAAATATTTCTATAATTTATACGAAAAAAGTGGGGACACAATCCTCTGCGTCTCTTTCCCGCTAAAATTTAATAGAGAGCATAAACATGAAACTTTAATATCAGAATCAGATTCATTTTCACAGTGTTATCAAAATATACAAATGATCAAATTTTCACAAGGTTTCATAAGCATTTAACCGAGTTATGAAATTTTTCAATGATTCTGGGCACACAGCAGGTTTGGGAATTTTAGTCCATATCTAATAAACAGGAGGAAGGAGGAGTCAATAAAAAGGTGGGTGGGATATTTTTTTTAAAATTAATAAAGATTTTTCCCGTGTATTAAGCACGCGAGAGTAATCAAGAAATAGACAATATCTAATTTTTGAAAATCATTTTTAAAAATAATTTACAATCGAAAATGTGCAGAATTCAACGGATATAATTCAAAAAAGAATAGCCCACAATGTAGAAATTGCGATATTAAATGCGATGCGATAAAAAAGTGAGTGAATAAATTATATAAGAAATTAATTGTACAAGAACTAAGAAAAGAAACGGAAATTTCTCAAACTTTTGGAGGCACTATGGTAACTGGAATACTAGAATGATGGAGAACATAATCGCTCACACTTCCAACAAAAGTACGTCTCATAGTATTCAATCCTCTGGTGCCCATAACTATGAGGTTGGCCCCCTCAGTTTTAGCTGTTTCTATAATGGCCTGGCCAGGCTTACCATTAGCAATAAGAGTTTTTTTCGGAATCTATAAAGAAAACAAATATATTAAATCGATTTTTTTAATATAAACCAAACAAAGTAAAGCATTTAAAACAACAAAATAAAATATAAAAATTGGAGAAGTGGGGTGCCAAGTACAAGTTTAAATGTAAATTTTTTTTCTAATAAATTAAAGTAAACAAAAATTTCAAATATATTTAATCTTTTAATCTTTTTTGTAAAACTTCATATAAACTTTTTATAAAAATTTCTGATTTTTATTTGCCTACTTCAATCAATATGAACGCACTGCATCACAAAAAGCTTAATGAATAAAAAAAAAGCAATTGCTTTTACTCAGGGTTTTAAGAGTAATTGCTCAGCTTTACAAGTTAAGCAATTACTCCAACAACGTTGAGTAAAAACAATGGCTATTTTTTATTCACCGATCCTAAACACTGTAAAAAAACAAAATCGTTTCATTTCAGTGTTAATTAAACGTTGATAAAAAATTTGAGTTTTCCTTAAAAGTTACGAAACAAAATTTCCGCCAGTCCTGGATAACAAAATTAGGGTGGAATACAAAAAGCAAACTTGAGTCAAGCTTGACTTGAACTTTATATTATAACCAATAGCGACAGAGTATGGGTTAACCAATAGCGGTCTGCCGCTATTGGTTACAAAATAAAGTTCAAGTCGAACTTGACTCAAGTTTGCTTCTTGCATTCCTCCCTTAGTTTTTAATACCTTGATAGATTCACATAATAATTCAAACTTTTCCATGACAGTTTGACTTTTTTTATTTTCAGTTACAATAGAATTTAGCCATTCATCTGCCGGTAACGCTAATGGTTCTATGAAAAAAATTGTTAAATTTTAAACAAAACTATAAAAATTATATATATATATATATATATATATATATATATATATATATATATATATATATATATATATATATATATATATATATATATATATATATATATATATATATATATATATATATATATGTTATAAAATAATAAAATGAAATGCTTTTATTTAAGTCATACATAAGTTTTATGTTTGTTTTCTTTTGTTTATTTTTAAACTAATTTACTTATCAACTACTTAGCGACCTATTTAAGTTACGAGTTACAAGAAAACAAAAAATATTGTAAAAAAGCAGGAAAACGGTTGACAGAAAACTTAAAAAATTGAAAACTGAGTCAAGTTAAAACGAAGATGGGAAAAAACTCCAAGGCATAGACGTGTAAGGAACAAAACTAAATGAATAAATTTTTTTTAGAGCATGAAAGTTACAGTAAAAGATACATACTTTAAAACAATGCAACTTGGCTGAACAACAAGTCACGAGAGATTTATGTTGATATAACATGAGGTGATAGCTTATTTGAGCAGTGAAAACGATAGTAGTTGAGAAGATAAAGAGATGCAATCTTATAATAGTGAATACATTTAAATTATGCTCTTAAACCTAGTTTGGAAGAGAAAGGACATCATTAGAAGAACAAACCCAAATATAACAACAGTATTATATACAGGGACAAATAAGAGTTTTTGGAAGTAGAGGACAGAATTAGGAGTAGGAAATATAATGGATTGTAATTATGGTCTCCATGAGAGGTCAGTGAATGATAGTCTGATAAAATATAACAAAGAAGACTCAGTAAAGTGGTTGCCATTCATCAATATAGAAATATCAAGAGTATTTGTGAGCAGTAAATTAGTTCCTTTTAAGTTCAAACTCACAAGCTATGCAAGTCTTAAGTCAAAACTAAGACTGGAGTCGTATGAAGTATTTAAATATTGTGTCAATAGAATAACTAAAAATGCTAATAAGATACAGGAACGCCATGTGGGACCATAATAAACAGTTATATAAAATAACACCATCAAATAAATTCAATATTTTTATAAGAACTTGTGGATTGCACTAATTGATGCAGTTTATTGGTGCGGTGACTTATTAACAAAAGGAAGTAGGTTACAAGTTGCTCTTGAAATGGTCTATACTCTATTAACACCATACCGATTTTTTTGGAAAGAAAATAGCATGCCTTTATAGCGGTATGTTAGGTGCAACACAAAAAGTTTTACTTTATAGTTATTAACTTTCTGACTAAGAAAAGTAAACAACTATTATTTCAAGGAATGCAACAAGAATATATGGCAAAATCCTAAACTGTTAAATTATGGCTTAACTATGTTCATTACATTTTCATTGTACAAGAATACTTATAAGTTATAAGAACCAGAAACTGAAAACTATATCTTTTTACAGCAAAATTTATAATAAAGCTATTTGCTCTTATTAGGCAAAATAATTATATTAAATTATTGTATCTGTATTTAAAGTTGGGTGATAAAATAGCATATACTTACCCAGAAGTAATTAAATGGTTGGTCTGGAACAGGGCAATTTTACGGGGTTGTGTGTGGGGGTAATTCAACCCCCAATATAGGTGATTTTCAAGAACTTAGTCAGCTAGTCAGGTATTTGAGATAGTTCAGTTAAGTCCTTAAAATGTACCAGTTGGTACTTTTTGAGAATTTAACCCCCTCCCCCTCATTTTATTTGTAGAATCACCTCTGGTCTGGAAAACAAACAGATTTTACAATCGGACAGATTTAAATGAAATTATCATAGAGCAAAGAAGTATTTGACAAAGACATTACTGAAATTATGTTTTAACAAATAAAATGCATATTATTTATAAAGAGTAAATGTAAAATGTAAATGTAAGAGTAAATGCGGTAGTGGTGTAGTGGTAGAGCGCTCGCTTCATAAACGAGTGGTTCCGAGTTCGATCCCCACCACGTCCCTGGTAGTACCGCGCTCAACTCGTTTCTCCACGCAGCCGCCTTGTTCGTCAAGGTTCGTGTTTCGGAGTAATAGAGTTGAGAGAGGGTTATAGCCACAAAATAAGTAGCCTCCTCGTCTGTAGTGGCCGTCTCGGCCTTGAGGAGGTGAATTAAAATAAAAAAAAAAAAAAAAAAAGCTGCATAGACTTTAAAACTGTAACAGTAACAAATTTTTTTCTATAAAAAAAATAAAATTATTTAGACTACTATAAAATGAGCATTTAACATTTTAAGAGATTAAAATATTTACATTTATTAAAATATAAATGCAAATATTTATTTACATTTACTTTTTATTTATATCAAAGTATTTTGTTGCATTTGTTGCATTATAATAACAAGTCATGTTGGAAAATAGTTGTTTGTGGTGTGAAGAAGAGCCTTTTGGATGGTTGAGAAAAACAAACTCTTGGTTCCCTCAATTATCATCACAGTAAATACCCAGAAGCTGGAAATCTAAAATCAAAAATGGCTGATTATAAAAATGTAATTAATCCAGGAGTATTATATCTTGAAGAGTATCTAGACAGTTTTCATACCAGTTTTTCAAAAGTTGTAACTATTGCATGCAACAAAAAAAAATTAAATTTTCTATAAATGTTAAAGAAAATTTAGTTTTAATATCAGAGTTACCTAAATTGATTGGAACAGTTACAACTTTAATTAAAACTGTTATTAAAACTATGGTCATATATATGGCTTAAAAAAATGGTTAAATTCAAGTTATACATATTTTTAGAGGTTACCATGGATTTGATGACTACGTTTATGTTTTCTATGCTTATTTCTTTTTAATATTATTTAAATAAAAGACGTTAATGTTTAAGCATAACTACTCTTATATTAATTTTGCAAGTATTTCAAAATATTTTGCAAATTATTTGAATACAAGATGTAAGCGTTTTAAGTGTAATTACCAAATCTCAAATTAAGTGACCGCCACTTGCATTATCCGGAAAATTTTCTGGTCATTAAATTATCAGTTTATTAAAAACCATAAACATTTATTTAATGAAACGATCAATTTATGATATTGCAAAAATTTATGAAAAAACAAAACAACAAATTCACTACTGCAAAAATAATAACAGTCGAAACTTACATATTTTTATTTATTGTTTTTTTTTTAAACACCAGGTAATTAGAGGATTATAAATTAAAAAAAGTTGAAAGAAAAAAATAATTATATTATCCGAAAAAATTTGTGGTAATATCAAAAATCAAATAATAAAAAATTATGCTAAAGCTAATTGCGCATTGTACGAAACATTTATATAAATTTTTGTAAAGGATTTTTTTTAGAGTTTTTATGTTTTGTTTTAAAATAACTATAAAAAGTTTAAATTAGTTTTTATATATTTTTAAGTCTTTTAATATTGTATATATCTGCAAAAAAGTTACCAGCATTGAATTTATAAGAAAATATTGAATAGGATTTAGGTAAGATATAAAAGTATTTTGAGTCACTTATTTCACAATCTCTTTTATTTTAAATATTTGTTCATTGCTAAATTTCTTTAGATTTATATACATCACTAAATTTCTTTAGAAATATATCATACTTTATCATGCTTTATTTTTCTAGTTTTATCTGATGATTTATAAAATGAATTAAAATATTAAAGTTAAAATCATAACATTAAATAATTGAATAACAGCTGTTGAGTTTAGTTATCAAAACAGAGTTTACGATTTATAAAAAGCAAAAAATTTAAAGACCAGAAGCATTTCTGGATAAGCACTTGATTGGAGCCCTGATTATTATTATTTTAATTTTGTGAATAATAAGCTATTTGTAAATATTGATTTAAAAAGTTTAAACAATTATTAACTACTAAAATTATAATTACTGAAATATAGTTACTAAATATTTAAAATACTTTAAAACCATTTTCAATAAATATTGACAATTAGCATAGTATTTGCAACTTGAACTTTTATTAAAATCCTAAATTAAATAAAATAGTTTTTCATAAAACAAACAAAACAAATTAAAAATATAAAAAAAACAAAAAAAAAAAAAAAAACACTTTTAAAACGGCTGTCAAAGTTTTAATATCTACAGACGTTTGACTCATACATTGTATGTGTATAGCAAAAATTTATTATTATCGTAACTAAAGTAACATACGCTTACGTCCACCACTAAATTTATATATTCAATGAAATCTATTTTACAACAAGACTCTATTTTAAATCAACTTCCTTATTTTTGGATAAAACAAATACACAAACAAGTGATATATAAAAACCATCACAGCAACAGTTTTAACTGGGAGGTGGAGGGGTGGGGGAACCTTGAGAATATTTCCCCCCTCCCCACCTTGCCGAAAACAAAAACAGAATCCCCAAATAAACTCTGGGTTCGTCACTAGTAATGTATATATTATTTGTAAAACTCATTTAACCAATTTAGCATCAATCTCGCTTAAGACGACAGTTATTTAAACAACAATCGTAAACATAATGTAAAACATGTTGTAACCAATATTTGAGAAAGTCTTATTATTTGTAAATGTTAATGTTTCAATTAACACAGCAATACAACTAAATGTCAAGTCGAGTGTGTAAGATTGCATGAAAATTGCATAAATCGAAAAAGAAAAAAAAAACTGTTATCGTATGACTTTTAAAATTATAAGATTATTTTATTATTACATGGCCAACAAATTTATTAATACTTTCTAAAAGTATTAATAAATAAATCTTTCTAAAAGTATTAATAAAAATCTAAAATTAATAGCAACAAAGATTTAATAAATAAAAATTAATTGAAAATTTTTAATGACTATATATCAATTATAATTTAACCTATAGCAACTGAAATTTATATGTAATTAAAGTGAATTTATTTAAAAAGAAATTTATTGAATAACAGTTAAATTGTAATAATCAATAATTAATAAACATGATGTTAAAGATGTTGGATGTTGTCAATTTTTAATTGTATGCAATCAACATAAAAAGTTAAAATCAAAAAGATCAGTATTTTTGTTACACTTGCAAAGATCAGTGTTTTTGTTACATTTATGATAAATTATTTTGTAATAGAAAGCATGGATTTTAAAGGAGGAGGAGGAGGAGGGGATTGTCCACAATATCAGCTTACCTGAAAAACTTAGCAGTGGAAGCTTTGGCGGAGTAGCACAATGAACCAAAATAAGAAAATCTTTCTCTTTGCGAATGTTTTCAACATAAACTAAAAATTTTTAATGTTATTATCGGTTTTATATATATATATATATATATATATATATATATATATATATATATATATATATATATATATATATATATATATATATATACATATATAATTATTTACAAAAACAATTAATTACAGTAATATGACCATATTTAAACCTTGCCGTAACCCTAAACCTGACTTTCATGCTGACCTCACCATAACCCTGACCTCAGTCGATGTAGTAGCACTCCCTTGCGAGTTAGGCTATTTGATAGTCGATGCATGTACTTTTCCCTCTATAAAAGTTGGTTACGGGGACATTTACAAAAAAATGATGCTTAAATTCAGGGACAAAAAATTGACTATATATATATATATATATATATATATATATATATATATATATATATATATATATATATATATATATATATATATATATATATATATATATATATATATATATATATATATATATATATATATATATATATATATATATATATATTAGGATGTCCCAAAAAACAACAATATACTGTCACTTTCTTAATGTGCTCTATATAATAAAAAAAACTGAATTTAAAATTTTTTAAATAAAAAATATTTTTTTAGGTCCCCCAAAACCCTTGAACACTTGATGAATTCCTAATATTATCAAAAAAAGTTGTTCAAAAGTACATCCTGTTGGGTCTCAAATGAGACAAAATCAAATGAAAATAAATATGTTAGAATCAAAAGCATTAAAAATAAAGTTTTAAGTAAAAAAAAATGCATTTTTACAATTTTTTTTACATTTTTTTTTTCAATAACATTTTTATAATATAATTATCATTTTTTGAGTTTTCATATGATTTTGCTTCATGATTCTTTTGAATAACTTGTTTTGTTTTTTTTTTGATAATTTTAGCAACGCATTAAATGTTTAATAGTTTTGGGGGACCCTGGAATATTTTTTATTCAAAAATTTTTACAAGAGTTTTTTTTATCATATAAAACACATTAAGGGGGTGGCAGCATATAATTTTCAAAAATATAGATTTTTGGAAAACCCTAATATATGTATATGAGGAGTGGACTTGCAAAACCAGATAATTCACTTTTTTTTTCAATCTGAGACAGTGGGAAACAATGTTTTCCAGTAAATAGAACAGCTAAAAATTAAAAAATTAAGTTAATAGATGACATTAAAAGAATGTTGTAGACAAAAATTAGAAAATCATGCTCTTTTGATCTTATTTTTTATTACAAAATGAAAAAAAAAAATTATCTGGTTTTGCATGCCAATTATTTTTTTAATCTGATTTTGATCGCAAATTCATTTTTAACTGGTTTTCAAAGCTTCATGAAGTCAACTTGACTAGTGACAATTTTAATAACCAATATAATTGTGCAAAATGCCCCTCTGCCTTAGAAAATTAGTAATTTTAATGTTTGATACTTTTCAGTGGCGGAACTACTGGACGCAGGACCCTGCGTTGCGGGGGGAGCCTACAAGCTATAGGGGGCCCTTATATAAAAAAAGTTATACTCTCAATAATATTTATACTATAAAACTCTTTTCCGCAAAAAAAAACATTCTTTTGCGGGGGGGGGGGGGGGGGGGCCAAATTTTGAAGTTCCGCCACTGATACTTTTATAGGATTGATGAAGTTAAAACTCAATTGCAAATGTTTAAATATGGCTTTTGTGATTTTCGTGAATTTTTTTGTATATGATTTTTTTCTTAAATAATGTCCTCTATTTTATAAAAACATTTTTAAACAGAATGTTGATTAGATAAAATTTTTGTCTTATTTTGCATGGACAATTTTTTTATCTGGTTTTGCACGAACAGAATAATTTAAGGCAGGTAAAATGTTATTAAAATTGTGGCTTTTAAATTTAATTTTTATTTGTAAAAATGTAAGAATATTAGTACTACAAAAAAACATTTTTTAAGTTTTTTTTTTTTTTAAAGTGAATTATCTGGTTTTGCAAGCCCACTCCACATATATTTGTAGAAAATCACTTAACAAAAAAATTTCATATTATGTACTATATATATACTTTTTATTATATTATATTATATTATATTATATTATATTATATTATATTATATTATATTATATATATATATATATATATAATATATATATATATATATATATATATATATATATATATATATATATATATATATATATATATATATATATATATATAATTACTTCCTGATAGCTTAAACCTCTAAGGAACCAAGCAAAATGGTTGGGTTAAATGAACGTTTGACTAAAGCGAATTTCAGTTAAGTCTAACTTTGGCTGATATGAGTTATTAGTTTGAGCTATGGCGATTTTTTATCCAATGCTACAACATACAATGTAAAAAGTACAAATATTATATATACACCATTATACTAATAAAATATAATATGCCTATATATATATATATATATATATATATATATATATATATATATATATATATATATATATATATATATATATATATATATATATATATATATATATATATATATATATATATATATATATATATATATATTATCATTATTGCTATTATAATAATAATAATAGCAATAATAATAATAATAATAATAATAATAATAATAATAATAATAATAATTGATTCAACATGTATTACAGTATTCAAAAAGAAAGTTTATATATTTAAATTCACATTTGACTTTTGAGACTCAAGATATATCAATAGACAAGCTGTTAAAATATCATTTAGAATTCTATAATATTACCAACAAAGTGTCACAAGATGCTTCTATCATTGTCACTATTAATGCTTAATGTTGTTTGAATCAAAAGAGACAGAGTTCAATAGAAAGGTGGTAGAAAAAGCATGCCAATAAATATTGAATTTGTTGAATTTTCTTTATATATATATATATATATATATATATATATATATATATATATATATATATATATATATATATATATATATATATATATATATATATATATATATATATATATATATATATATATATATATATATATATATATATATATATATATATATATATATATATATATATATATATATATATATATATATATATATACATATATATATATATATATATATATATATATATATATATATATATATATATATATATATATATATATATATATATATATATATATATATATATATATATATATATATATATATATATATATATATATATATATATATATGTGCCTGGTGTTTATCTTGTGTATGTATTAATTTAGAATTATGTATAAGTTTTCTCAACTTTTGTTGTTTATTCATTAAACTTCAACTGTATATTGATATATATATTATATTAATAAAAAAATTAACTTCACAAAAAAAAAAGAAAAAAGAATAGTGTTTCTTTAGTCTAGTTATTAATTCATATTAAAACATATTTATTTATAAGGAAAAGTAAACCACAATTTTATGAAAACTTAAATAAATTTTCTTAATTAAAACTTCATAATATATTCTTTGAATAAAATATTTAGACATAAAAATATATAGACAATATAAAAATTTATTTTTTGTATATACTTACATGTCTATCTTTTAGTTCTGAAATAATAAATATGAAAATTTTTTATGTTTAAATGGAATAAAATATCAAAAATATGCAAAACAATGGACTTGGAATTTTAAAGTTTTCTTGTGTTGTGTTTTAGGTGAAGTTTTAGAGCTTCATTAATCAAATTTAACTTTAATAATAGCAAAATTACAATAACAACAACAATATCATAATAATAACTGTAATAATAACAACAATAACAACAATAATAGCAATTCTAGGTACTTATACATACACATTTTATTATATTTTATTTTAATTGGCTTTTTAAAACATTATTTTAAAAAAAAATGCTCCTATAGAGGAATTAGGATGTTAAAAAAATACTGAATGCTACCTTATTAAAAACAATTAACATAAAATTACTTACATTCGAATGCCTTTTCTGCATAATCGCTACCATCAACCGCTATAAGAACTTTTCGGCATTCCATTTTCTGTTTTTAAAGACCTGGCGTATACGCAGGTTTAACCTTATCCCACAAACGCTTTTAAATTATAAATATGCAAAAGTGTTTGCATATTAAGAAGGTTGGCTTTAGTTTGGAGTTCTCCTACACCTATGATTTCTAGCATGTTTATCATCGGTTGTAATTTCTAAATACATTTTTAAAATTTTGCCCTATTCAAAAACTAAAAAAAAAATCGCATAATAGCTTCCCGCAGATTATTTTGAGTAAAAATTTATAAATTTAGTGCTTTTAAGAAAAAAACTTTATATGCAAAAATCAAATGATTTTTCTTAGAAACTGTTTGATACGGCCTTTATCGCCGAAGGGGGTCAACCAAACGTTTGGAAAAGTTACAATGAAAGTTTAACTTAAAAGGTTGTAATATTTTTTTTTTTTTTTTTTTTTTTTTTTTTTTTTTTTGTTTGTTGTTGTTTTTCTAACATTTTAAACATTTTTAATTTTCGACAGACATAATATTTTAGGGTGATCCATGTTCGAACATCGATCATACTATTTTGTAGAATACTTTGAAAATAATATATAAAAGTAAAAAATAACTTTATTTTTTCTTTAATTTATTAATTAGACACTGTGTTTTACCAATTAAGACTCTTCAGAAAAGCTCTGCGTAAAATGAAAATAAAGTTTAATAAGTGATTTTTAACTAATTTATATATACTGTAAAAATGGTTAATTACGGATGAATCTTTATAACGGAAATTTTAATAAAAAACGCTTCAACACAATTGTTAGTTTGAATTATTATTATAATTCTTTTTTGAATAAATAAAAATGAGAACAAACTAAATAAAACTAATAAAATTTTTAAAAAGTTATAGTATATTATTGCAGTCTAGTTAAATTTCAACTTGAAACTTTTCAGTTTTCAAAGTTCAAATAACTTATATAAAAACAAGATACCAGTGGCGGATCGGATTAAGACTTTTTATATATATATATATATATATATATATATATATATATATATATATATATATATATATATATATATATATATATATATGTATATATAAATATATATATATATATATATATATATATATATATATATATATTATATATATATATATATATATATATATATATATATATATATATATATATATATATATATATATATATATATATATATATATATATATATATATATATATATATATATATATATATATATATATATATATATATATATATATATATATATATATATTTATACTCAGTGGCGTAGGAAAGTTTTTAAATGTTTGAAATAACCAACTTATAAACAACAAGAATATTCCAAGTTTTTTTACGTTCATATGTATGACAAAAAGATTTTTTTTTAAAAAAAATTACTGTGATAGGAGAATGGGAACAAGAAACCCTAAAATCTTAGCTCCCCCTGTCCCACACGAGAGAGTAACAAGAATAGTTGATGAAATATTTTTTGTATTATTTTCATTTAGACTTATATTCATTAAGAAATTTTAAATTTTATAGTAAAATATTTTAGTGTTCAAAAATTATGACCATATAAAGTTTGCAACCCCCTCAAGTTGAGGGGGTTTCAACTTTACATGGTCATAGTTTTTGAACACTTAAATATTTTATTATAAAATTTAAAATTTCTCGATGAATATAAGTCTAGTTAAAAATAGTACAAAAAATATTTCATCCAACTTGTTGCTCTCACGTGTGGGGCAAGGGGAGGTAAGATTTTAGGGTTTTTTGTTCCCATTCTCCTATCACAGTAATTTTTTTTTCAAAGAATTTTTTCGTCATACATATAAACGAAAAAAAATTTGGAATATTCTTGTTGTTTATAAGTTGGTTATTTCAAACATTTAAAAACTTTCCTACGCCACTGTATATGCTATTTATAATATGATATATACGTATTTCATTCAAATCAGATGGAATTCCGTTTAATTGAATGGAATACTTATATCATATTAACAAACTTAAAAAGCTCTTAAGAAACTTATAGAACTCGGTTTTTTTTATTTAAAAAAATAAACGCGTACTTATCTTTAAAGAGTTGCAATCTTAATAAAAAAAAAAAAAAAAAAAAAACACAAAGGGAAATATTTTTACAAATAGATTTACAAAACCAGAAGAAAAGTAAAAAACAGTATCTTTTGTTGTAACGTTTTAAGTGTCTTTTTAACTTGTCAGGAAATGAATTTTTGTAGTAAAAAATTCATGTTTGAGCCGTTAAGTGGGTCTAAAAAATGTCCTAATGAGTTAAATTAGGTTCTTATTGATTACAATGAATAAACAATAGCATATGAAATTTTTTTAAATATATAACTAAGCAAATAGACTCATGCTAGAAGTTTTCTTTTTTTGGGAGTTTTCCCAATTATTGTACTAAGAGTTTCTTAACAGTTACTTAAGTTTGTTATTGTAGCACACGTATTCCGCAACCGAATGGAATTCTTTTCCATAACGAGTGCAAATTAAATACTCAATTAAACTGTCGTTCTCCGTTAACGGAGTTAACAGTAACAACTTAAAAAGGATTATCTTCAACGATTTGTAGATAATCCTTTTTAATTTGTTAGTGTGATATGCAGGGCCAACGACACGGGTTTCGAAGTGAGGAGGGGGGGGGGGGCAGAACTGTCAATTTTCAAAAAAAGTCTTCTATATCTAGAATTTTTTAAAAAAAAAAATTGATCCTATATTAAAAGAGTGTGTTTGGACACGTGCTTCCGCCCTTCCCTCTTCCCCTATAAACTGTCCTCTATATCTAGAATTTTCTAAAATAAAAAAAAAAAAAAAAAATAAGGTTCTTAAGAAAAAAAACAGGGGTATGTGCCCCCCTGGCCACCCCGGTGGCGTCCGCCCTGTTTAACGAAAATAATGATTGAAAAGAAATTATGCTGTTAATTAATCAAATTGCTTGTATAAAAATTTAGACTTTTTACTTTAACGCAATAAACATTTTATAGTGATAATTTAATTTACTTCACCGAATAATTTTTTTTTAAGTTATTTTTTTAATCAAAGATTATGTTTCAAAACACTGTTACACACATTCTGTTACATATTACATGTTCCAATACATACTGTTACATACATACTGTTACGTACATGCTGTTACTATTACATACTGCGAAAAATTCATATTAAACTTGAGAATTTAATTAAATTTTTTCGTTTTATAGTGAAAAATAGAAAAATAGTAACTATAGTAACAGCATTTTGGAAATATTAAAACACTCTTAGATATATCTCGCTCGATTGTAAGGTTTAATGTTGGAAGAGGTTTCAACCGAATCTGAAAAAACCAGGTGTTTGATAGACCTTTTCATTCATATCTCCAATAGAAAACATAAATTTTTCAAAGGGGACTCAGCTGGACCAAATCAAAACAAACACAACTTTTAGCTATTATAAAATTTAAATACTCTATAAAAAAAGGTCCTCAAAACTAAATTATGTCAAATGCTGACTAACCAATTATATTTCAGAAAAAACTTGATATAAATTGGAAATTGAAAACTTTTGGGAGGATGGGGCGGGGGGTTATCACACCCCCACATTCACTCACAGGCTTTTCTGTTTACGTTTTGTCATTTATAACTTGTGGTTAGTCCGTAGTTTTTTGTTTTTTTTATTGATGCACTTTTTAAAAAGATTCTCATATCTTCTCCATTTTTTTTTTATACATTCAATATATATAACTTTTTTGTTTATTATTTTTATACATATAGCATTTCCAGGATAAAGAATTATTTTTGAAAAATAAATGCTAAAAAACACATTTAAGTTTCAATCAGAAAAACATATTTTTAATTCTAAGGAATAATGTATAAGGAATAAGTTTTTTCTAAATGGTTTTACTTTTTATTCTTTATCGGAAGTAATTGTAAACTTATTCTTTTAGTTATTTATGCGTGTTGTTTATTATTATTGTTATATATTAAATCTTTAAGTATTTAAATTGGAAATTTTACATCTTACTATTATCTGCAGTTTATTAGAACGTTTTTAAAATATTTTTTTCAAGGGGCTCTATGAAAAGATTGAGATGGTATTGCATCACCCATATGTTTTTTGAGCCCAGGTCTGTTTTTTAAATTTTCTTATTTATATTTTTTTTTTATGTGAAACTCTTATTTAGTTTATTTTATTAAACAGCAAAATATATACTACTCAATAAAAAATAAATAAATAAATAGAAATATTTTTAGAGTGTGATGTGATGTAACTTACTTCACTGTTATTTATTTTAATGTTGACTATTTATTTTAATATTGATAATTTTTATAATACTGATTATTTAACTGTTTTTTTAAATAGCATCATCTCCATCTGTCTCTTTTCCTTTACAATATTGTAATTATTATTGTTGTTATCATTAACATTAGCTTAACGTCATTCATATTGATCAAAGAATTATAATTAGCTTAACGTCATTCATATTGATTAAAGATCTAACTTCTGTTTAAGTGAAATCATTTCTTAACAATCATTTCTAGCTGATATCATAATCTGATACTTTTTTTTATTTTATTTTTATTTTAAAATATTGGGTTGAATATCTTATGTTAACGTTAATATTATAATCTTTAGTAAACCGATTCATTTTTATTTGTGTTCTTTTCGCATATATTCTTAATGTTATTATTGTTGTTACACTTACACTATAAGTGTAACAACAATAATAACATTAAGAATATATACGAAAAGAACACAAATAAAAATGAATCGGTTTAGTAAAGATTAAGTTTAGTTAAGATTAGGAAAAAGTTAAGTAAGAACTACAAAGAAACTATTAAAATTTTATTGATACAAATTTTGAAATCCTTTAAGTTTGTTCGCGGAAAATAACTATAAGTTATAGTTATTTTTCGCGAACAAACTTAAAGGATTTCAAAAATTGCATCCAAAAATAACTTAACGCCATTTTTAAGAGACACGGTGTTGTTTATATTTTTAACGAGTAGAGCCTAGTTTTACGGAGTGGTTAATAAAAAGCTCTATATTTGACGTTTTTTATAGCACTTTTCCCAGCATTAAAAGTATACACTTCTGTTAGAAAATAAACTTCTATTAAAAGTA